TTTCATAAATACAGAAATTACTTACTAATTTGTTAATATCTAAATACTTTAAAATATCTAAATACTTTAAATATAAATAATAAAAAGAGATTAATCTTTTGTAAAAAAATTAAGTAATTTTCTCTGTTATTAGCTGTCTATGCATTTTTCTTTGATCATTTATTTATAGATAAAATTATTTTTTAAGCGATAACTACTTTTGCTGGGAAAATCTTCAATTTTCTTTAAATATTTGGAAATAAACACGCGTATTATAAATAAAGAGGAAACATACATTTATGATAAGAAACTTAAAAGCGAAAGAATTAAAAGTGATTGGAATCAACGGCTTGACACGTTGGCTAAACCAATTGTTATCCTAACGTGAATTCCTAAAGTGTATTTATGCGATTATGCGATTATCCGCGACACACATGATCGGGCTGCGCTGATGTGCATGTTCTCAGTTATTGATTAAATTATGATCTGGATCGTTCAGCGTGCGAATTGGAGGGTTCGCAATCGGAACTAGGAGGCGTTAATTAAATCGAACGCAGCTCAGATTCGCGTGGACGCGCGCGTCCAGCCACGGTGTAGAGTGTACGACGGCATCAGACGCGATGCACGATGTGTTCTGTACAAGGCGTCGCTCTCGATATTAATGATGGCAATGCATGGCTGGTAATGAACACATGCGCAACCTGTCCCGCCCACGTGCGAAAGCGGCAACGGATTATCCGGATGGCTGTAACGCGCGGACGTAACGCTGCTCTCTCGCGCGGATTTGCATGGCGAAACTAACCGTCCGTCTGTCCGATGAAGATTCATTAACCTGTGCTGAAAAAGCAAATTAAAATAGACTGCACTGTAGGTACATAATTATCGCTCATAATTATTTGCCCATCAATTTTTGTACTTTCTTATAATACACCTGAATTCCGTTCTAATTCTATTGTATTCCTCTGTATGTATGTGTATATATATATATATATATATATATATATATAGAATTAAATTATTAAGTGTAACACACATACACACACATCTAGAAGAGCAGGAAAGAAAATAAAAATTCACTCTCCTCCATTTAATTAAGAAAGACAGAATGAGCAAATACTTTTGCACGATAATGTGTGTATTGAATCACGTTTTTTTTTTTATTATGATTTTATTTTATTGACTACTGAAAATACTTCTAGTTTAAAGAATTTATAAAGGAAATTATTTTCGAAAAGCTTATTATTATACAGACGACTATAGAAAAATATGTTTCTTTGAAACCATCAAAAACAGTCATAGAATATCAACCAAAACTATCCACTGACATCTGCTATAAGTCTACGAATTATGCGCGGAGTCATACGTTTTCTTCTTAGCATCTGCTGATCCGCAGCGTAAGAGTCGATCATTGCGGATGATATCGCTTGCCATAAGGTATTCAAGTTCATTAAGTATCATTCAAGAACGATCCTATTATGCGAGTGCCCTCGGTACGTATGCGCAATTTCTTTTTCGCTGTGTGCAATTCGACTGATTCATGCTTTATGTTGGGATTACATTCATAACATTTTGTTATTTATGCTCGATATTTTGATTCTATACGAATTTTGATTCTCGGAAAATCGGAATAAAGCGCGATAGAAAAAAATCAATGTTAAATGGGCACATTACTATAATGAAAATATATAGCGCTAATAAAAAAATTTATAAGACAGGAAGCTCAAATATCTGTATTTAATCTGTAATTTGTTCTTTTAATGATGTGGCGTGACTCGTCAATTTGATATTGTATTATTGTTTAAAAAAAAATTAATAATAAGCAATGTTTAAAAAGTATGTGTATATATATATATATTTTTTTTTTTTAATATTTTCATTTATACTAGAGAAATTAAAGAAAAAATTATATTTACTTTACAGTTATCTTCAGTTAGTAATTCTACTGTTACTTACTGTAGGAATATATTTATCTATGTTATATATTCTGTTTTATATTATATTGATAATTCTAATAATAATTCTAATAATTTCTCTACGAACAATATAATAATGATACTGGTTATAAATACGTAAGAAATAAATTTTAAGCAAAACTTAATTTTTAAAATAAAAATGTTTATCAAAATAATGAAAATGGATCCATAATTATTGTTCTTAGCAGCAGCAAATTAATATATTACAATATAAGTAAATATAAATAAAGCAATGTAATACCCATTTAATATTTAATACTTCTTTTCTTCTAATATTTATGTTTTATACAAAAATGAAATTTTCTTTTATATTCTACCAAATGGTATCCATGGAAGAATTATCGTCGGAGCAACTGTGTAAGTATCGGTACATTATTCAGTGAATACTGAAATACCGGACGCTGATTAAATAATTGCCATTGCAAAAAATTTAAAGTTATTATATAAAACCAATATCAAATGTTATCAATATCAAATTAAACAAATATTACATAAATAGATACATAGATAAATCAATACATTTTGATAAAATATTGGGAAATTATATTTTCATAAAAAGATAAAATCATGAATAATAAATGTAAATATTTTAAATTTATTATTGTCATTCATTCATTCATTGATTCAACATTGTCTGAGATAACAATCATTTTTGATTTTGATAAAAAATTTTTCATTATAAAAGAATTAAAATAAAATAAAGTAAATAAAGTAATTTTAATTACATAATCTTAAAGTCTTAAAGGATTAAAATAAAAAATCTCTATTTTAATCCTTTAAGACTTTAAGATTATGTAATTAAAATTATATGATGCGCGCTATCAGCGTTATTGTCATTCTATACTTAAATTGTTTTACATTTAAAGGTGCTTCCGGACGATATGACAAACGTTTACCACATAAGCAAATATTATACATACGCATACACGACATATGTAATTATCCATACTGAATGTAGATCAATATTTAGCGAATGTGTGAGAAGTTGGTGTATGGTATACATTGGCCATGTCGTCTCGAGATATCTTAATCAATCTTAATGAATTGTGTGATAGAATGACACATAATACAAAACATAGGAACTCTAACTGAACAGCGCTGACAGTTCTCTGAACTATTATCTTTAACTAATGTAACAACATATAATCGCATCAAACAACAAACTTCGTGGAGAACAAGTTCGCTCTTGTAACATGAAAATCGAAATATCCATGTTAGAATTTAATGAAAATCTAAAGAATCAAAAATAAATATTAGAGATAGCAAAAATAAATTAATCTGGGTTAATGAGAGTCAACGCAGGAGGATAAAATTTTATTGCATATCTCCTTTCGTGTTGACTTTCATTAGCTCAGATTAATTTATTTTTATCATTTTAAAGAGAGAGAGAGTTCTTGGTTAACATATTTATCATTAGAGATAGCACGTGTATATTATTAAGCATTTAAAAAATGGATATTAAAAATATCAAAGATAAAAATACTCGACCTTCTAGAAGGAATTATTATTCAGATATTATATTAGGTAAGATTTCACATTAATATTTTGCTACTTATATCATACTTAATTGAGATCAAAGCATACTTGATCATAAAGCATACTAATTATATTAAATAATTCACACAGGTACAAAACCAGTTGACCTATCTTCTGTTTCAAGAAGAACCAACCTCGCATCGCAAATTCTCACGGAACAGTACAGTCCGATTGTAGAAGGTCTTAAAGTAAAAAGAACGCAAATTTTTCTTGGCGCTGCTGAGCGATGGATAACTTTCCCTGAAGACAAATCTATCGTACGCAAGTACATAACCATGTAAAAACAATTACTTGATTTAATTTGAAGATTTGTTACGTTATCAATAATATTTTTTATGTTGTTAAATTAGTATGATATGAAGGAATGTATTAATTTTAAATTGACTATGTTTTATAGGAAGAAATGTATACATAAAATTGGAAATATTTTCCAATTTATACTGTGAAAGATCTATAGTTATATTTCTATTTATAACATTTCCTTCTAATATTTTATATCTATCTTTGTATCTAATTTAATGAATGTATATAAATTCTTAGTGCAAGATTTCGTTTTCAATAAAATGTATACCTATAAATATTTAAAAATTTCTGAAATTTTTATTTTTTTATGAATGAAGACATTTCCGGCAGAAATCTTTTTACCAAAAGTACAAATGGCATATACTGACGATTCAAAGATTTCACTGCGTAATATCGAAATGGAAAGAAGACGAAAAATATATAAAAATCTTAAGATAGAAGATGTTTTAAAAGCGGAGAATATCAAGCCGAGTGACATGTTACCTTTTGAGAAAATTTACCCACTACTTTCCGACAAAGAGAAGTACGGTTTATACTCTAAGACAAGTTACTTACCATTGGAATTGTTTGATGACGAAGAATACGATTGTAGGTGAGAAATTCATTATTCTACAATAACTTAATTGCTCGTCATATATTGCCATTTTTAAAGTATTTAAATATTACTTGTCAGTTATCTCATTTCTAATTTCTAGAGGAAGGCCAATATTGTCATTTTTGTTTTTGATCAAAAATGACATTTTTCTCTTATTTATATAATTTCTTTTCTTATCTTATATCTCTTATCTTATATAATTATTATCTTTTTTGTAATTCTCTTATCTATATAATTATTTAATTGTGTAATGCAAAATAATCCATAAAAGGCTTTTCTAAGTAAAAAAATAGCAACTTAAATAGTAAGAAAAAAAATTTTTTTTGCATATAAGTTAACATTATACAATAACAATATACAATAACATTATACGACGATGTGAAACACATTACAGTAGAGAATAGCACAAGAGAAGTTTGTAGTATAGACATAAATTTCACATATTTGATACTTACCTATGATAATAAATTACCTGTGAT